ACCTTGCTCTTGGCTGCAAAGGCCTTCCTCCTCTTGGGGTCCTGCATGATCTTAGTCATCGTCTTCTTCTTGCGGTTCTTGGCAATTCTAAAGGTAACCACATCCATAATGAGGTGGTGATACAACTCTGGAGAGTAGATCTTACTGACTAGCATGCAATAGCTCATCCTTAGCATTATCGCCTCTTGACGTTACTCCAACCCTACCCATCACTCTATCTTGCTTAGCGAGATGTCGCTTCTGTTTATTCGTGAGAAACCTAAGACAACAAGTGAACCAAAGTGGGGACAGCCTTCGAGTACTCCTTCTGGACTCCACCATGGAACTCCTTGACCATCCTAGCTCCCCCACCCGAGCCTGTCCCCCGATCCTCCTCATTATCATCCTCAATAGTGATAGCCTTTCTCGGTGCCGTGAATGCTGTATTATTCTGTGATGGAGATAGGTCAAGATTCATAACGATGTATTTCCAACCTGCTTATCCTCCAACTCCCCGACCTTCTGTATCCTCTTATGACTTGACTTCAACCACTTAGAGTAGATATCACTCTTCTCCATCTCACCACTCACCAACTGACAGCATTCAACCCAAGAGTACCACCCCTCCAGCAAATCCTGCTGCCTGATACCTTGCCAGCCTCGTTACGCCTCTTCCTAGATGCTGCTATTGGAGCCCCGCCATCACCAGCGACCATCACAGGGAGATACCTGTCCTCCAGTTCATAGCGTGGGAAATATGCACATCATCAACCACATGTGTTGGTGACAATATGGAAATTCCGAGGAAATTTTGAGAAATTTTCGTAGTTAAACTCTACGATTAACGAGGAAACTCCTGAACTCAACTGAGGAAAGCGAACATATATTTCAAGACTGGCGGTTTGTGATTGTTATCCAGCCCGAGCTTACTTCTTCTTCCTAGCATCCCATCGCATAACACTCTTCGCCTTAGTCATCGACTCTCGATCATCAGGTACCAAATCCAGCTGGGCCTTCTCTATGTCCAACTGCTTCTCCCTCTCCTTAGCCTCAATAGACTGGTCAGCATCAACAGACCCTGAGGAGTAGTGAACCAGGAACGAGGGAGAGCCTATTTACCAAGGTAAAACTGGTTGGATCGACATGTGGTCTGGTTGAACACACTGACACCATCCTCAAGATGATAAGATGTTTTCTTTCTCCCACCAACAGCGAGGCCAGCCTCATTCGGCTGTGGTAAACTACCACCTGGAGCGACACTTACGACCCAGTGCGGTCGTTAGCATTTACCATTCTTCTCGAGCTTCCTCCGAGCCCTCTTACTAAGCATACGATGAGTCCGCTTGTCATCAGTCGCCGCTCGCTGCGAGGATGCCAGTGGCCTCTTCTGCCCAACTTGTACATCCTCCATCTATACACGACATATTAGTACTATGATACTCATTATGAGTAGTACCTCTCCCTCCCCAGTTACAGATTCCTCTACGTCGCTGTCTTCATCTTCCTGCTCTTGTGACTCCAGTTGTTGGTGTTCTTGTTGTTGCCTCACTCGCGACATCCTCTTGAGATCATGTCGTAACTTTCTTGGTGCTACCTACAGTGAACATGTCCTAGCTAATGCCACGGACAACCATGAACTCACCACATGCTGAGATATCTCAGCCATTGTTTCAGGTTTGATAGCAGTAGTGCTGCTAGTTCCAGTCGACTTAGGCTGTTGGGAGGGACGGAAGGAGCCTATAGAGATCAACAACATGTTCAAGTGGCAATACTCCATACATGGCATTAACCAAAGAGAGGAACGTACGAAGCTGTGCTATCATATCGAGCTTCTCCTTCATATCCTCAACACTCTGTGAACCTGACCAACACTACCCTGCCCACCGGCTGTACTCCTCTAAATAGGCAGCCATTACCAAGATCAGCAGCCGTCCTGAAAGCAGGATGCGGGGTGTCCAGGAGCCTTTGAGGCCCACCCGCCTCAGCTCTAAGGATCAACTTCGCCCGTCGAACCTGGACATGCGCTGAGTGCACCAAGGAGCAGGGTCGTCATTACACTCTGGTTGGAGGCCGCTGGTCTAGTTTTGTAGTAGAGATGATATGCACTCATCATTGATCGCTGCAAGGAGGCCAGCTCAGCATCCCCAGATACAAGTCGGCGAACCTACGGAAAAGTACCATCACTGGGAATCGAACCAGGGGTCTCGTAATGCTCACCGTCTCGACTTCCTCCTGTACACTAGGGATGCCGCCGATAACACACAGTCTCTTCTCGTCCACTTCACCATCATCTCCATCACCCTCAGCAGGGATAGGATGGTCGCTACCTAAGGCCTGCAGGCCGAGCTTCCGACCTGCAACGACACCACCACTCCAATTCGAATCACTATGTATCAAAGCAAGGGATATTCACAGCTGATTAACATCAATAGAAGATGTATAATCCCCAATGACGGAGAAGGCAATACTCCCCAAGCTACCACCTAGGAACAGCATGAGTTCAACTGCATAAGGCATATCGTCGTGTGTGACGAGTGAGGCACATAACCCCTTGGCTCCAGCTCGGGCAGTTCCTATAATGATAAGCTATGAGATTCCCAAGCAGCTGGGGGATATCTCTAACCGTCGACCTACTCCCACATCTATGCACAAAGAGCTTGGAGCTTGAAGGGAAGTCATAGTTGATGACATAGTCCAACTGAGGTATATCAATACCTCTAGCGGCCACATCAGTCACCAACAAAACCTGATGTAAGGATCTTCGTGTGAAAGGAGGGGTATGAGCACTACTGATGCCTTCCCCGATCGGAACTTAGATAGACTAGAAGTCCTCTGGGTCTGGTCCATAGACCCATAGATAGGGGCGTTACTAATACCAACTTGGGTAAGCAGTGATGCGAAGAACTCTACGTTATGACGAGTCGCGACGAATACCTAAAGCCACGATGCCATAGACATTCGTCCCCCCACAGTGAGCCTACTATAGTTTTCGATGACCGTGCCCCCTTCTTCCCACCCTTGCTTTTCCCCTCCACACCAGCGACCCCTGTCGCATCCCCAGTACTTTTATTACCCATGGATTGGAGCCTACCAGACGATGTGAGCATACCCTAGTTAACATACCATCCACTCCCCTACTTGCGGAGCAACGCTACTAGTGCCGCTGGCTTGGAGTCTGCAGTGGTATAGAGGAACCACAAATCAAGCGTGTCTGATATCGTATGCTCTACCTGGGAATGAATGTAATGGTGAATTCGCTTATAATGCAGCAGCACTCACGTCAAGACGGATGAACTCAGTAGATTCAGACCTTAGACCAGCTCTACTGAATTGTGTTAGCTGACTAGGTAGAGTAGCAGAGAATAGCAGACACTGTCGAGAAGGTGGAGTCGCCTTAAGAATACCTCAACATGAATAGCGTGTAGCCCATACAGGAGAATAGTAGTATTACTTTGCATATCATCAGCGAAACCCATCTCAAAGAGCCTATCAGCCTCATCGAAAACAATATACTGTACCCGCTGTAGAGATAAGTCCGCTTCCACCATGTGATGGACCTACCAAGGCTTCAATGAGGTATCGGACGACGACGCTTCGTGAGAATGGGTAAAAACAAGCCAACAGCTATTCGATCAGATTAGCATTGTTGAAGTATCCATTTAGTATAGCACCACTACCCTTACTACCAGGCGTCCTGGTGTACAGATGAGCACATCGGGGTTACTAGAGAGCCTATCGAACTGAGACTCCATGCTGTGACCGCCAACGATAAGACATAATCGGAGGTCTGTGAATTTCCCTAAGAGAAGCTATTATCATGCATTCCCATTACGATGACCTTCTTACCAAGCATCCTAGTGACCTTGATAGTCTGCATGGCTAGCTCACGGGTAGGCGATAGAATAACGGCTCTGGCTCCAACAACCTCACTATGACCCTTCAAGATTTGTATCTATCAGAATACTTGCAGTTGATGCAGAACCTCCTCTCCCGAGTAGTACCATTGGTATAACAAAAGCAGCCGTTTTACCACTCCCCGTTCTAGCCATAGCCACTACATCACTACCACCGAGGATCGCGGGTATAGCCTTCCTCTGGATTGGCGTGGGCTGGTTGTATCTGAGGTCTCGACACATACCAACAACCGCGTCCCCCAAGGGGTTATTACCCCATCTTCTGAATAGCCTTAAAGAGCGGATCTGACAGTCCCATCGTTTGGAAGGCACCACCACTGATCTTCTTGCCGCCGCTGGAAGTGGCAGTGGTGGTGGTGGTATGACCAACGTCACGGCCCTTGGCAGCACCCTCGAGGACCATCTCAGAGAATAATCTTCCCACAAAAAAATAACCATCATCGATTTTTCCCTCTGTATGCTTTCGGCTGAGTCCCTCCCTTGCACCCTCCCGGTAAATTTGGTGAACGACTTTGCAAAATTAATCACTTCGAGTGATACTTTCAAAACATGTGTCGAATCGCTCCGCTGACCGCTTATCGCGCGCGCCCCAATTATATGTGCTTTCCAAAGCTGCCCCAGCGAGGGCTCCTATCACGCTAGCCACGTAGGAGCGGTCTTCCCTACATCACAAACTTAAGTATATCCAACCTCTTCACTCGGTAGCCTCTCCCCCCTAACCGACCTTATCGTCAGCGCGTCCCTGAGAACTATGCTTATGATCATTGCGTGAGTTGCCCAAATATACATGCCTCTGACTCGCAACACAAGTAGTTACAGTGTTAGGTGTTGAAGAGGTGTTGAGGTCTGCACATTCATCATTATCATATCATTCATGTGCCGACCGTCACCTCCCCGCCGAGCCAGAAACTATATGTACCCCACACTGACCAGCGACATCCTACTCGGCAATTGAGTCCGACTATCATACCCCTGACATTTATCACGGATGAAAACTTTCTACCCTCCTTGCCAATCCCCCCCCAGCTGCATAGTACCTGGGAACTGACGACTCTCTCTGATGAACGTCACGATGCCGCGTACAGACATCAGGGTGGGGGAAGGCATTTACGCATCAAAGTAATCCTGATAAGCTGCGTATTCGTAGCCGTCGAAGAAGTGATCGTTATCATCGGAAGTAGCTGTGAGAGATTCCTCCAGCCTTACAATGGCTGATGGTCCTCATCCTGTAAGTGATAACTCATAACCGAATAAGAGTACAGAAACCATTCCGGTCATCACTCGAAGTAGTAGAAATAGGCACCCCGAAGCCTATCCATCCATCTAACAGGCATGACACGTGTGGAGAAACCATCACCACCACCTTCACGAAAGTATATAACATCATAAGTATTGGCACGCCGCATCTGAAGTATTAATAACCAAAGTATCGATGCAATGGAGACAATAATCACCTTCTAATTGTCCACCGTTCCTTCCGCAAAACCGTGAAGGGATCCTTATCCCGTCGCGTGAACTTCTTGGTAGCAGCCCACGTTACCCAGTTGGTATCGGTATCACTAAGATGTCGGACTCCCTCGAGCCATCGGGACTTCTCCTCGCATTCTTTCTGGAGTGTTTGCACCTCCACGTTCTGAATCTTGAAAAGACAATGCCTGAGGCAAATGAGCGATGACCCCTTCAAGCTGATCGTAGCCAAGTAGATGCTATCATATAACTACTACGAACCGAAAGAGTGCTCGTTTGATCTGATCCTTCACATTGGCCACTTTAGAGGTAAAGAAGCCTGCTGTAGGGTCCTTGCTGAGGTAATCGGGGGTTATATCCGTGTCATCCAATACTCCATCCTGAAATGTCGCCAGTCAATCATCGGCCGAATAAGACCGACGTTTACAGGCATTTGAAATCCTTTCATTATCTTAGTTATCCATCTTTTATCGCGGTATGCTGGGAACTCCATTCACGGATCAGCTGCCATAAGGCGGGCGCCTCTGTCAATAGCGCCTCACAAAAACTAAACAACAGAGGTAGCAGCCTCGGGTAGTAGCCGCGGACCTCTCATTCAGACAACACGACACTTGACATCGATGAAACTAGTAATACTTCAATGCAGCGAGCTTATCAGTTTCTGGCCCGTTGAGGTCGACCCTCTGCCGGAATCTTTCGAAAACACACTTCACTCCAGCAATTACGTCGCTACCAACTCCGTTATTTCCTGGGCTTCCTGCTGGAGGATCTACACATCGGTGAGTGATCATTACATTGGTCATTACCAAGCACATCGAGTCATGGACAAACAGAGACGAAACGATACTAGTAGCTCAAACACCTCCGTTAATTCTTTCAAATTAACTGTTATTGATAGGGAGCTCGACCCAATCATCCCTCATGCCGTTCATCAGCTCTCCCGAGCCGATATCTTTGGAACTTGTCAGTACAAAATATCGAGTTATTCTGGTCGATATATCGTATTAAACTTGTTAGTCATCCTCAGCTCCCACGCCTCTCACCTCGGTCTCCTCCTAAACCTTGTAGAGTGCATCAGCACTCTTTGTCTCTGCCCCTCCACGGCCATTTCCTCGAGTTCCTCTAACCCTGTCATAATCAGGGGCAATGGTTCCATCTTACCAGGCGGTCCTATTCCTCGGGCGACAAACTCGAGCTAGCACGGCCATAGCGTCATGCGGGGTTCATTTCCGGGTACGAGGGGTAACCCACAGAGGGTTACCTAGGACTCTAGTCAGCAAGTTAAGGTACTGCTCTACCAGGGCTTATTGAGACTCGATCCCTGTGATAAGGTCTCGACACTCCCAGCCACCCAGGTTATGCCACTCAAGGGACTGCAAAGGGAACAAAGATGTTGATGGCCAAAACCGACCAGGGAGCAATCATTGAAAGGAGGGATGGGCTGACGATTGTGAAGAGGACCTGTAGTAATATACAAGAGTAAATTGTACTGTATATGGTGCCGTGAGACAACATACTGTGGCAACTTATCAACAATAACTATGCTACACATAGCATTAGGTATCACATAGAGAGTCTATTATTAGACGACATACACAAGAGGACTACAAATAGTTTATGGGTACTATTGAACACTTGAAGGGAAGGACTGAAAAGCCATACTCGGTGATCACATTCGTGGAGTGGATGTATGAGCTATGGCATACCGGCCCCAATTCCGATATTGCCATTTCTGGCCAGTTACCCTCACGCCGCGATCAAGGGTCCGGTGCGAGAAGATATGGGGACGCTAGGTGAAAAATGAGAGCCACAAGCGTGCTTCTTTGAAGCCAAAACAGCACTGCCGTGATAGCAATTAACTTGTGATGTACATTTCAATCTTGGAGGCCTATGGAGCAGTACTTCTCATATGGTGAAAGAGACGGACGAAGAGGAAAAGCAAATAAAGGCATTACTGCTGCTGGGGCGGTTCGGCCAGAAAGTCTGTCCGAACCGCCAAGTAAGTGTACAGGCTTGGTGAGCTAGAGAAAAGGTGATATCAGGTATAATAGGTTACCAACGAGACTCACTAATTATATTGGTACATACTTATCTCAAGAAAATGTTCGACACGTTTTGGATACTCACGAGAAATTAGCAATCGTGGAAATGGATGCCTCTCAAAACATCGCACGGCGTTCTGACAACGCAACTTGACAAAATATCGAGCTAATATTTTCCAACACAAATATGCATCATCCGACGTTGGTAATCGTTGTATACAAACGGTAGAAGACAAAATCATACTGAAGTTAGCAATCCAACATTACACACACGTTTTACGAGAGTGCATGAAAAACGTGGTCCGTGGGAATCGAACCTGCGCAATCTCGCATGATGGGCGGGCGCTCTACCAACTGAGCTGCACGAAACGGGCGGACACGACTTTCAGAGACAGCACAATTGCGTGAATCTTGCCGGGCTGCATCGCTCCGCTAGGTTTTTGTGACATGTATAAAAGATTTAAAATTGTCAGGCCTGGGATTCGAACTGCGGTCATTTAAATCGGCTCTTGTCGAAACTGTTGTGTTACATTCTCGCAGACTAGTGCGTGCTCAACCTGTGTCGGGCTGCTACGTATGCTATTTAAACCTCAACGCAATTGAATGGCTAGGTCGCGAAAAGACGCTTTCAAAATGCCTTTATACTCTAGCCGCAGGTAATGCCGGTTTGATTTTAGCGCGCGCCCGGGGCCCCCACCCCAGCGCGCGCAATTTTGTTAAGGCGATGGGTTGGGTTTCTTGGCGAAACCGGCGCGGGATCCACCAAGGGTCCGGTGCGAGAAGGTATGAGGACGCTAGGTGAAAAATGAGAGCCACAAGCGTGCTTCTTCGAAGCCAAAACGGCACTGCCGTGATAGCAATTAACTTGTGATGCACATTTCAATCTTAGAGGCCTATGGAGCAGTACTTCTCATATGATGAAAGAAACGGACGAAGAGGAAAAGCAAATAAAGGCATTACTGCTGCTGGGGCGGTTCGGCCAGAAAATCTGTCCGAACCGCCAAGTAAGTGTACAGGCGTGGTGAGCTAGAGATAAAGTGATATCAGATATAACAGGTTACCAACGAGACTTACTAAATATATTTTGTTACATACTTATCTCAAGAAAATGTTCGACACGTTTTGGATACACACGAGAAATTAGCAAACGTGGAAATGGATGCCTCTCAAAACATCGCACGGTGTTCTGACGCAACGTTTTTCTTGACAAAATATCGAGCCAATATTTTGCAACACAAGTATACACATCCGACGTTGTTAGTCGTTGTTTACAGATAATAGGAGATAAAATCACACTGAAGCTAGCAATCCAACATTACGACACGTTTTACGAAGATATATGAAAAATGCAAACCGTGGGAATCGAACCTGCGTAAATTCGCATAATGGGCGGGCGCTCTACCAACTGAGCTGCACGAATCGGGCGGAAACGGCTTTCAGAGACAGCACAATTGCGTGAATCATGCCGAACTGCATCGCTCCGCTAGGTTTTTGTGACATGTATAAAAGATTTAAAATTGTCAGGCTTGGGATTCGAACTTGCGGTCATTTTAAATCGGCTCCTTGTCGAAACTGTTGTGTTACATTTGTGCAGACTAGTGCGTGCTCAACCTGTGTCGGGCTGCTACGTATGCTATTTAAACCTCAACGCAATTGAATGGCTAGGTCGCGAGAAGAGGCTTTCAAATTGCCTATATACTCTAGCCGCAGGTAAAGCCGGTTTGATTTTAGCGCGCGCCCGGGGCCCCCACCCCAGCGCGCGCAATTTTGTTAAGGCGTTGGGTTGGGTTTCTTGGCGAAACCGGCGCGGGATCCACCTAGAAGCCGCGGGGGGGCCTTGCTTGACCTATTAGATCCCGAAAATGTAGAAGAATTTCACTCTACGTGTAGAACGATAGGAAGCATGGACGTGAAATGAACATGAAGGAAGGATTTATAGTACAAGTCTATTGAAGTGAGGCGATATCCGCCCATTATCGAACAGAGCGATTATTATCCGGTGACCAATCGTCACCGGGGCCTTCTGTAAACGAAAGTCAACCACGCATTAAGTTGCACTTTGAATGTCAAAGCGATGGCTCTCCCTTCGGGCGAGGCTATCGCCTCGACGAGCCATCACGCGGCCGTGTATACGACTCTGCTTCTCCGGTCCATATCACAATTCTTCAATCGCTTGTCATGACCTTAACGACGGGTATCTTCATGTTGTGAAGGAAAAAGAATCCATTTTACAGTGAATACCTCAAAGTCACTGTCGAAAAGTATCCAATAATAAGAAAGAACTACAAGTGGGAGGAAGCTGAGCATGTAAGGAAAGAACAAGTGATTAAAAAACGCTAAATATGCAGTCTATCGTCGAAGATTGCAAGTGTGCAGATTCGAGCGGCACGCGGGAGTTTTTCCAGCCGGAAAAAGAGAGTACTCTCTTTCGAGCGCTTAACTGGGAGCGCGAGACTGTGGAAAATGGCGTACGCTTTCGAGACAAGAAAGGCAAGAGTGTAAGAGGAGGAGACGTGACGGGAGCATGGTTTTTTATTCTTTTTGAATGTTACAGACCTTTTCTGAGCGTGATATTGCGGTGATAAACTCTTAGGGATAATCTTGAAATATATGTGCATTTTGAAAAAAAAGTTTAGGCTACTTTCAAAGATGACTATTAGATATGCCGTGTTTGCAGTACGAAGGTGTCCCGGCGCCGGGACGTGGGAAGTTGAGCGCTCGCCCAAAAAGGGCCCCTCCCCCAAATGAGCTCGCTGGAGATCTTTGATTCCAATTGTGGATGGTTGCACCAAGAGACTGGGGGGTTACCTTTGCAAGCATTTTCGTCTCTTATTGCTGTCAAACGGGCGCTCCGAACAATGACTACCAGCCGCGAAGTAGGTAGATAGTGCAAAACATGTACTTATGTACGTGAGAGGAAATGCTAAAGCCAAGCATCTCTCCAGTACCATGAAGCAGAAGCATTAACTGCGTCAGTCCAAGACGTTGACGCATCGTAGATGCGGTACACCCGCTAACGCCACTGAAAAGAGTGGATAAGGCAATAGGTTTTCGGAGAAGCGGTTCATCTAGTCTCCTCGCGGACCCTCTTGAACCGCACAATGTTATGGTGAGGATACTTCGCCAGACACTCCCACGAGATCAATCTGAGAAATCATATGTCAGATATAACGCATGTCTCCTTCGAAAAGGCTTTGAGGCATTATTTGTGAATAAACACGTCGTATTCTGAAAGCACACCTATTACAAGAGCTACTTAGGGTTTGCAGACTGCCACGTACAGCGCGCTTATCGGGCAAGAGGCACTGTGGAAGGTATAAAGCGAAGAATGACAAGATGACCAATCGTAATATCCTACACGAGGAGACTGCATTGGCGGTAGACCGTCTCTTGTGACACTGTGTGTTGTGAGTGGGCGTGCGCTCTTCGATGACTAAGCGAGCAATTTCCACTCGGCTCGGGCGATCCGGATTTCCACAGGAGACGTGATTTGCTCAGAACGAGACAGGAAAGAGGTAAGAGAGCAAGGCGAGAGACGGCTAAAAAACGATGTTTTTAAGTTATTTCAGAGGCCTCAATGCGTACAGAAGAGTCTTTTGAGTAGATTTCCTCTTTCTGTTAATGTTGGAGAGTATTTGGAAAGTCTGAACGAAATCTGTCGGTGGAGAGCGAAAATCGCGTAAGCAATGGGCAAACCGAAGCACGATAGGTTCCGGCCAGGGATGCCCGGAAGTTGGTTTTAGCGCTCGCCCAAAAGTGGTACCCTCCCCACACATTCGGCTCGCGGAAGACTCTTGTCTCCCGAAGTGGGTGGTTGCACCAAGGGTCCGGTGCGAGAAGGTATGAGGACGCTAGGTGAAAAATGAGAGCCACAAGCGTGCTTCTTCGAAGCCAAAACGGCACTGCCGTGATAGCAATTAACTTGTGATGCACATTTCAATCTTAGAGGCCTATGGAGCAGTACTTCTCATATGATGAAAGAAACGGACGAAGAGAAAAAGCAAATAAAGGCATTACTGCTGCTGGGGCGGTTCGGCCAGAAAATCTGTCCGAACCGCCAAGTAAGTGTACAGGCGTGGTGAGCTAGAGAAAAAGTGATATCAGGTATAATAGGTTACCAACGAGACTTACTAAATATATTTTGTTACATACTTATCTCAAGAAAATGTTCGACACGTTTTGGATACACACGAGAAATTAGCAATCGTGGAAATGGATGCCTCTCAAAACATCGCACGGTGTTCTGACGCAACGTTTTTCTTGACAAAACATCGAGCTAATATTTGCAACACAAATATACATCATCCGACGTTGTTATTCGTTGTTTACAGATAATAGGAGATAAAATCACACTGAAGTTAGCAATCCAACATTACACACACGTTTTACGAAGATATATGAAAAACGCCAACCGTGGGAATCGAACCTGCGCACTCTCGCATGATGGGCGGGCGCTCTACCAACTGAGCTGCACGAATCGGGCGAAGACGACTTTCAGAGACAGCACAATTGCGTGAATCTTGCCGGACTGCATCGCTCCGCTAGGTTTTTGTGACATGAATAAAAGATTTAAAATTGTCAGGCCTGGGATTCGAACTTGCGGTCATTTTAAATCGGCTCCTTGTCGAAACTGTTGTGTTACATTCTCGCAGACTAGTGCGTGCTCAACCTGTGTCGGGCTGCTACGTATGCTATTTAAAACTCAACGCAATTGAACGGCTAGGTCGCGAGAAGACGGCTTCATTTTGCCTATATACTCTAGCCGCAGGTAAAGCCGGTTTGATTTTAGCGCGCGCCCGGGGCCCCCACCCCAGCGCGCGCAATTTTTGTTGAGGCGATGGGTTGGGTTTCTTGGCGAAACCGGCGCGGGATCCACCCAGCACTGGGCCCCGTTGGGCTCACTTTCTCAAAACACCACAAAATTATGGAACCGACGATTATGCGCGGATACGCGCGTAATCGGAATTCTTCGCCCAATCTTAATCGTTCTAGCTGTCGACTGCTCAGCGGATTTGTGTCGCACTGCCTGTCTGGTTTAGGGTTAGAGGTTAATGAGAGCACCTCGAAGTTTCTGTGTGTGTTAGTCGGGAAGAAGATCCAAACGGCTGATGCGACGTTGGTGAGGTTCTCATAGTACACCTTACCATTCACCACGGGGAGGTTAGTGAATTTCTGTTCTTCAGTAGCAGTTATTGAGGGTCTAGAATTGTCCCGGTCCCTCCTCCTGAGGATATTCCCCAGCTAGATGTTCTCTTGGGTAGTTTTCTTGTTATTAGTTAATATGGCTTTAAGGCGTATCAATAAGGAGCTCGAGGAGCTCAGTCGTGACCCTCCAGCGAACTGCTCTGCTGGCCCGATAGGTGTGCACTCCTTTATAGCGATACCCTCAATAATACTGTTGTTAGGTGATGATATGTTCCACTGGCAAGCAACTATCATGGGCCCTAAGGATTCTCCTTATGAAGGAGGTGTATTCTTCCTCAACATCACCTTCCCCAGTGACTATCCCTTCAAGCCACCAAAGTGTCACTTCACTACGAAGATATATCACTGCAATATCAGTGCTAATGGTTCCATCTGTCTCGATATCCTCAAGGACCAATGGAGTCCAGCACTAACTATATCCAAGGTAAGAAGGAGGAATAGATATCATCTGTATGATCATTTTATCAACAATACTGTATAGGTTCTGTTGTCGATCTCCTCATTGCTTACTGATCCCAATCCTGATGATCCGTTTGTTCCCGAGATTGCCCACATGTTGAAGACCAATCGGGCTAAACATGACGAGATCGCCAGGGAATGGACGCAGAAGTATGCCATGTGAAGAAGTAGCTGTTGATGATGATGAAGATTGCGGATATTGAGTTGATGATGGTGCTGGTCATCATCATCATCGCTGACGATCATTCGTGATGTCATTAATACCACTATTATACTTGTTACACTGATATTATCAGTCAAGGGACTCGTTAATTTACCGCTTGCGTCATCATTACAATTGGGTGGAGAGTAATAAGAGACCATCGTAATAGCACGGTGAGGTGGTGAATGGTAGTTTGTGTAGATGCAGACATTGGACCAATTGTGATGCTCAACAGCTCAATTATCACATAGAACCGTGCCTAGCTTCCCATACTCTAGGGTTCCTTTGTTAATGGTGATGATATGATTGCTCAGTTACCTGATTCTCATATTAGGATTTTCCTTTCGTTCTTCTTGTATTCATATCCTGGTATTGATCTAATGGCTCTACGACGTATCAACAAGGAGTTACAGGATCTCAGTCGCGACCCTCCAGCTAACTGTTCCGCTGGCCCTATCGGTACGCTCTAGTTGGACAATCACTTCGTGTAGCTTTTACTGGTTCGTTGTTGTTAGGTGATGATATGTTCCACTGGCAAGCAACTATCATGGGCCCTAAGGATTCTCCTTATGAAGGAGGTGTATTCTTCCTCAACATCACCTTCCCCAGTGACTATCCCTTCAAGCCACCAAAGTGTCACTTCACTACGAAGATATATCACTGCAATATCAGTGCTAATGGTTCCATCTGTCTCGATATCCTCAAGGACCAATGGAGTCCAGCACTAACTATATCCAAGGTAAGAAGGAGGAGGAATAGATATCATCCGTATGATCATATTATCAACAATACTGTATAGGTTCTGTTGTCGATCTCCTCATTGCTTACTGATCCTAACCCCAACGATCCCTTCGTCCCTGAGATAGCCCACATGTACAAGGGTGATAGGACTAAGCATGATGCCATCGCTAGAGAATGGACGCAGAAGTATGCTATGTGAGATCACTCGGCAACGGCCACCGTAGTAGCAACAGTGATCATCGATGATCTGTGGTAACTGATATGGAGTATTTTGGTGGTCTATCGATATGATGGCATCAACACTACAGTCACCATCTATCTGACAACCTACTCTTACTATGCATAACTCTGTTTATTTCTGTACCCACTCTCATTCTTCCAGAGATTATCATTGTTATTACTACTGTTATTGCTACGAGTCCGATGATCCCACCAGGTAGGCGTCGTGTGGTGTAGGCCGTGGTGTATTGGGTAGCAGCAACACCCTTTAATTACCATCATCGTACTATACTACTTCCACATATACTTGACGAAGATGTCGCTATCAACATCATCAATGTCTCTTGCGTTCTTAGTGAATTAGTAGGTGTGGTGACGCGGCGTCGACACTTAACCGTCTCGTCTCTGTCTCAGCTCAGCCTTTGTGGATCTTTGTAGCAGCATTGTTGAGGCTTTCACTCCATGAATTCTGTGCCTCGACCAACGTCTTTACCATCACATAGTATACCTCCCCCTCCACTATTTACCAGGAACGCTGCTGGAGGGGTTGATCTACTCAATGAGGTGGCCAACGCTAGGAGCAGCAGTAGTCCACGACCCACGGGATCCGCCGGGATCGCTAGAGTCGATGCACTAGTGAGGCTCGGTGGCTGTGGTGCATCAGCGTCGTTATCTTGTATTTTTCCAGACTTCCCTGGAGTCTACGTTGGAGTCTTTAGCCAACCTCCTATTTGCCCTTCGTCAAGAGCGTCGACGTATACAACACGAGAAGCAGCAATTGAACGTTGAGTGGGCTAAGGTAGTGATGGTGAATGTCCTCCTCCTCCACATCATTGATGGTAGTTCCGAAGGATGTGTGCGGGATCCTATATGAGGATGTACGAGGCCTCCATGCAGCAGCAGCAGCAGCATTCGACAGCATCAGCATCTCAAGGAAGGTCCACCACATGTGAGCGTGCTCCTGGCCCCCCATCTACCCCACACGAGTCAGTACGAGAGGCGATGAGGAGGTAGTTGTTGGATCGTCGGTGGCGGTTACCAACAACCATTATCTTTTGCCTAGACATCCCGCCACGACCTCTACAATGGAAGCACCATCGTGGACAGCCACACTCGACAAGATGACTGCAAATTGTGGAGATGAAATGCCGAACAATCTTCACTCGGTTGGATCTACTCTAGAATGCTTGTGGCTGACAGCTCTGATCCTCAGGCATGGCCTTATGCCTCCAAGCATGCTGCCAACCCGCGCTCTCAAGATATAGGGTATTAGGCTTCTGTCGGTTGTATCGTTGGGGAATGTCCTTTCGATAGTCGTCGTCTTCGGAGGCCCTTCCCTGACGAGGATGTAGATGATCATCGTCAAGCTAAGCTGGCGAGACTCGAAGGTCGACCGGGCAATAGGGTGGGTTCACTTGCTGCCCTCCTCCACTATCACTACTGCTGCTACCATCATTACATAGCTGATTCTATGTAGGATCATTATTCATCCTTTCCAAAGCATGAAGGGGAAGAGGTAGATGTTGGGATGTTGATGAGCTCAAGCAAGTCTCGAACACCTCCATCACCACCACCGAGTGACCATCCGAGAGTGAAGGGAATCACTTGGGTTGGCGGGAGTAATACCGACATAGTTTGGCATCGATTCATATCATGCATTCTTAGCCCGGAGCTGGATGGCTCGATGGGTCGAAGATGGGAAGTTGAAGAGCAAG